GAGGCACGCATTGGCACCATAAAATGTACATGGCAAGATGTGAGTCGCTGAAATGGGGTTGTGGGCAGATACATGTTCAAATGACGCTCAAGAGACAGGGGAAAGCTTGAACGCAACCCCAGAGCTCAGCGTTCCCACGCAACAGATTGGGTAGGGGCACTTTCCCAATTGCTCCTCACAAAGGGCGAGTGATTAGATGGGCGGCCTGCATTTGTGAAAAACGAGGGTGGGGTCGCATTTGCTTGAGAGGCTTGTAGATAAAATGGATCTGTGGTGGTAAATAGAGTTTGCGATTCAACCGGTGTGCCGACAATCGTGATAGGCGTGGGCGCAGGGGTTGGTGCGCCTTTCAACCCCGTGTAACCCCAAATAAAGGTTTTTGGAGACTGCGGGGAAGACGGGATTATCATGTCCTCAACCATGCGTTCCTCATCCAGCTCGTCTGGGTCACACCATCCCTCGTCTACACTGGGTCGACGGGAACGCGGACAGACGATGCTGTTACTGCGCTTCTTTTGAGTGATTTCTACAGGCATATAACCTGGAGGCCATGAGATAGATGAAGAAGGTGTACGCGTAGTAGGTGTGGTGCAATGTTGTACGTGTGTGGGGTCACACCTAATCGCGCTCGCATTTCCATACGAGTTGTGCGAGCTGGACGATGCACAAGAGGGCGAAATTTGAGGCGCAAATAACGTCTGCGCGAGCTGCGCCTGAAAATTGCAGCGCCACGACGCGGACAGATAAGCATTTGTGGGGGAATAAGGTTTATAGTATGTACCTGGAGAGCTGCAAGGTCGATAGCCTCTTGACCAATGTGATTCGCATTGAGGGAGGCTACGAGGTCATCCATAGACACGCTCATGGTGAAGAGCCTTTGTGTGTGTGGCGGAAGGCAACGGAGGAGAGATGAACAGAGCCGTCATGCAGAGCCTTGTCAGGAGTATAAATCATTAATTCCGAACCACGTGGTTACTAATTCCATACAAGGGTAACCAATCTTTCGGTTTCTTCCGGTCCGTCTTCCTTAGCTTACCCGTCATGCTCCGTTCCAAACTGGCGTGTAATACCTGAGAGTGCTCCGAGACTCCGAGACAACATTGGCATGCATCATGATGCATGATGCATGATGGCACAACTTGTTCCCCAGCAATCTTTTCGCAATTTCAACGTGAGATCATTCACCTTCCTTCGCAGGAAAACTCTCGCATCACGCCAAGTTGACGCACTCGGAATTCTTTTCTTATTCAGACTTAGACGCACGGGAAATTAATCTTCTCTTATCGACTATGCTCGGCATCTACTTAACCTTACCACCCTTCTGATGTTCTGGTACATATGCTTGGTACGTTGTTTCTCATGTTTGCGTACATGGTGACTAATACGCACGGTCTTGTGTGTGCTGAGCTAACCGTGCCGGTACTTTGTACGGCCCACGAGGCTGTCCCCCCATATTGAACCCTCAGAAACTAGCAAATACCATTTCCCGCGGACTGGATAAAGGCCGCTTGTTTATTCTTGGCCGTCCCTTTGGTTTGCGTCTTCCTGTGTGTCCATCTATAGATCTATGAAAGCTAGATTGCTCGCGTTGCCTAATTCGCTCAGCTCAGCGGCGGTATAGGCGGCAGCTTCCCGCTGGTGGATTTCTGGGCAGGAATGCGGACCGTCTTGCCTATCCCACTCTATCCGCGAGAGCATCCATCGGGTCCCGTTTCTCCTGCAATAAACACGTTCTGTCAATGAATTCATCATGGAGTTACGACCTACGTTCTGATTGTTCCAGAAGAAGCGCTGTGGCCGGCGCCGAAGCCCAATTAGGTTCTTAATGGTTATTGACGGTGGTTCCGGCTTAATTCAGTGTCGTAAATTTTATTGCAATCGAGTGAGAGTGTATTTACTAAGTGCTTTTGCCATTGTCATAATATAAAATGATACTCCACTTGATCCAGTATAAGTGTGAAAATGTCGAGTTGGAAATAACAAATCAATGTCATTAATACAGCAATTTTGATCAATAATGACAATCCCAAAAAAACAAAATTGTTTGAGGCTGAGCTATGGTGCATTTCACTTAGAGGCTGCTTACTTTGTGCAAAATTATCAAAAAAAAAAAAAGACCTGACTTATTCCTTCAGTAGAAACACTCCTTTTGACAGTACAGACATTTCCTCTGAAGTGATTTTCATTTACTTGAAAACTGAGGGAGTTGTAAATTTTTGAGAGGTTCAAATTAGTGGGTATGTACCAGAAGTAGTGTTGCTGCAAGTCGATGCAGTGTGATGCGGTGCTAGCGAACTCAAACAAGTAAATGATTTGAGTTGTATCAAGTTACACACCAGTGCAACTAGCGAGTTCAGATGTCATTTGGGAATTAAGTCCACCAATCAACAAGCTCAGATCTATCTCTTGCTGGTTATTCCCAACTCCGAGCCCATTGAGTTTGAGAAATACATTCAAAGATTTACTTGCTATGGACATGTAATGTTACTCAAGAGTTCAGCCAGTTCTCCTATTTTACCATATGACAATAGCTCTTCTACAGCTGATTGTGTCATATCTCCCTCAATAACATAGTCAGCTTCTGTTGCAATCCAATCTGCCGTGAAATCCAGCTGTTCTCCTTTGTAAATGTATTTGAACACCCGATCCATGTGCGAAAACAATGAGTGTGAGACTTACATCCCAGCAATGAACAATATTCAGGTCTTTCATGTCCATCAAACCCTCCTCAATGTATCTGTCAAACTCTCTCAAGGCTGCATCATGATCAAGTGCTGCCTCTGTGTGTTCTTTTGCTCATTGTGCTGCTGTGGTCAGTGCAGGTACAGTCTCAGGGAGGGCTATTGATGTTGGGTGAATGATAGGAAGAGGATCTGTCAAAAGTGCCAGCAGTGCTGGGGACAGTATTATAGGTGTCAATGGATATATAGCCTGAGTGTGAGTTGGTATTGTCAAAGTTGATGGAAGGGAGACAATGTGGCGAGTTGCACCACTAAGGTTTTGAAATTTGGTCAGTCCATGAGCCTGGGCTTGAACAGGGTTTGCTGGTGCTAAGCCAGGGAGAGTTGCTAAAATGAAGAAGTGTTGCAACATGGATGTTGGCCTCAAGACATCGTTCTTGGGCATATTCTGTCATCTGTTGGCAATGTAATGCGCTGTTAGTTGATTTGGAATCAATGATGATGTGCACGTTGTAACACTTGGGTCGGCGCTGGACACATATCTGGTCAAAATCACATATTACATTTCCTGACACACTTCCAATCCTCCGAAAGTTCCGCACATTTGTCCGAGTCGTCTGAAGGTTGTCTGCCCATTCCCAAGGCCTTTCTAGCTTTTCTGATCCTCCGTACCATGTCCTATCCTTGTCTGTTTGACTTTGCTGGTGCATTTTTCACTTGTTTATCTGTTATTGATTATACCTAGGGGAACATACATCGAAAATCCTTGCTAATACATATAGATATGCTCCTCGTGCGTTATTACATGTATATCCTTGAAGCGACTCGCCTTGAGTCTTATTACATTTCGGATGTCTTATCACGCTACAGTTTTCGCCTACGTAGATTCTGGACTTTCACGCCATAAGATATATTCTGGCTTGCTAGATACTCGGATGGCACTTCACTTCCCTTGTTTCGAGTCATAGTTAGTAGGAGTCACTTTTGGATTTTGATACTTCACACAATCAATTTTTGTTCACTCAGAACGATTGTTTGGCCTGACCGCTGCCATTTTTTTTGCTATTAAAACTCCTTAAGTCTTTTGACAGACCTTGGTAGTTGTACTACACAGATCCTATTCTTTCACCGGAAACTTTGCTGTTTCGCCAGAAACTCACCAGAAGCCTTGCGCAACTTCGGACCTTCGTTCTCAGTGTCGGACATCTATTGGACATACCGGTCGACTTATCGGACACTTTGGACAATTCTTCGGAACTCCAGATGCGCTAAAGGTATCATTCAGTTCTCCCTTCTTCGATCTTAAATTAGATATCCCTTGCATTTTATATCAAGAGATAATCCTACAGGCAGTCTCTTAGGGACGAACATCCCACTTGCACTCAGAGTCTCAAAAGGTAACACTTTTGTATAGCCCACCAGGAACTAACTCTTTACAACATACTATGTCAATCATAGACTGCCTGGCCTGTTCACCCTCTGCTCAGCATGTGTAAAAACTAGAATTTTTTGATTTTATATGGACCAACAAAGCAAGTAGGGTAGACATATTGATGGGATGTAACAATGAGGTGCAAAGCACTGGAGAAGTGCTTAAGATTACATGAAATACTCAAGCTACAGTCAGCAAGGTTATAGAGACTTACAGTAACATTGATAAGATACCAGGGAAGCTTATGGGAAAGCCTTCTCGATATGTCAATCACCAACTCACAGTGCAACTTGATGTCTACACCACATGGGGCAGTTGCCACAAGTTGTGTAAATTTCTGAGTTGAGTTGATGTTAACTCGATTCCAACTTACACTGGCGGCAACACTAACCAGAAGTGTTATACAACATCAAGAACATGTGCTACAGTGTCTGGAATATGTCTGTGGGACTTGTACTTGTGAGAACTGAATGTCTTGACCTGGATTTGAGCTTCTGTTGTGCCCAAAAATCCCACCTTCACAGGCTGGTCATTGAGTGCTGGATTTTCGACTTAGGCTTTCATGGCCAACAACCTTGCAGCTGCTTTGTGCTTGTCTTTGATACCCATTGCAACTTGGAGGCAGGATGATTCACATTAATATTTCAATTTTTTTTTGGCAGTTAGGCACCCATTGCACAAAGTAAGTGGCCTTCAAGTGAAATGCACCATATGTGAGTGAGTGTCACCGTGTGAGTACATGTATTGTACACTGTTTATCATTGTGGTCAACTAACTACTAGTATAAGGATGATGCATTGATTCTGCTAATTAGCAGTGACCAGAAATATATGTGCGTTGGAATATGATATAATTCACACATTGGACACAGTCAGGGAAATCATAATGGCCAGATAGTCTAGTGGTTAAGAGGTTCCCCTGGAGTTGGGAGGGCCTAGTTTTAAATCCTGGTCCTACCATGATTTTGGTTAGTGTACAGTAAATTTGGAACTGTCTGAGATTCACAGGCTAAATTTACAATGCGCCAAGAGGCCTTCAAATTCACCACCGTGAATTACCATAAATTAACATGTCTGTAAATTAACACTATTTTACAGGTGAATCAGGTCAAATGTACTGTGAATTACGGTGAATTAGGTGAGTTATTCAACTTTCCACTTATCCCAAGCAGAAGGGTCAGGGATGGATGGAGACAAGGTTTTTGTGGCCTTCTTTGTTGGTGTGGAACCCAACTGTAAAGGTTGTTTTCTGACTGAATCAAGCAGTTCACATAGGTAGGGTGCACGCAAATCGATACCACTGGATGCTGCAAGCACGAATGAATCTTTCTCTGCTGTCCTAGACTCTGAAAGAGTAGCTGAACCATCCAACCGATCTGCGCCATCATCAAACTCTTCTGAGTCTGAGTCTGAGTCTGAGTCTGAGTCCACTGTCCTTGCTTCAGGTGGAGGAGACATTCAACCAGCAGGAGGCAAATCTTCAGCAGACCGCTTGCCAAGGATAGTGGATTCCATATCACGCCACTTGATGAGAGGTTTGTATGGTGTTTTTAGTTTCTGTGTAGTCAGTATGAGACTGAGAACTTAACATGCAAAAAATGTTACTCACATTAGAATCAAAATGATGCCATTGTTGGATTTTAATATGATCTTGAAGTATTGATTTCCTACCTACTTCAGTGTGGAGAGTTGAGCCAATTAATTGTTGACATGGTGTGTTCATCCGGCATGGATGTCAGAGACACTGAAAAAGCCTTGATTGCGAGAGGCTGTCAAAATATTTAGTTTTATCTTGGATGTGGGAGCCTCACAGACTTACTGCAAGAACATTAGCTAACTCATCTCTCTGCAATGCTTTCCACAAGCCAAGAGCACTTTCATTCATTCTCATCTTCCAATTGAACGGGTCCTCGCCCTTGATGTAGGCTTTGAATTGGGTCCAAAAAGAAGCCAGCACATCCATGGGGCTGAACTCAGCAAGCATAGGATTGCGCAGCTTCATCTCACCTACTGGATCAGGATACTTTTCAACCTTGTAGGAATCTCCCTACTTGCATTGTAAAATCCTTTGTAGGGCAAGGGCAGCACATGATACCATGTCCTGAGGAGGCTTCATGGCACAGGTGATGACACCAGTAACAGATTTAGTGATTGTAAGAGTTGGGCCTGCCATGGGGTTGACCTGCTTGTAAATGGGTGCATTTCAGTATACTATGTCATGGTTAGATCTGATCAGGACAGTGTAGCAATCACAGCAAACATACCTGGATTCAGCACAAAGGTCATCACATACAAATCATGAGACTGTGGTGTCTCATTGATAAGCTTGTTGAAATGCCCATTCCCAATCTGGTGAGTAGATTCCATTGTACTATTCAGTAGCCTATGTTTGTTTTCATGAAATTCCTCTTCATGCTGTGACATTATGCCAAGGAACAGGAAGTACACATGGTCAGTAGTGATTTGGGCACCCTCAAGGCACTTCAACCCTCTGGCCCAGGGACCAATAACAGACAGGAATTTGGAAAGGTCCATCTCAAAATGGTACCTTGGCCATCCAGGGACAAAATGTTCATTAAGGTTCTATTACTGTCAGCATCAGTAATGATGTAGTAACACTCGATAGCATCAAACTCACACCTCTAATTTCAATCCCAAGACTCTCATCCTCGACGATAGCCTGAAAAGCTAGTATTCCTCTCTGGATTGACAAAGCAGCCCAGTAGAGGGTACCAAATCAAGTATCACCTATACCCTCAAGGCCTCATCCGATATTCAGCACTGTCAAATCAACAATAATGTAATGTAATGTTTTTATGATGTGATGCATAGACAATCATGTTGTTGAAGATTACACAATATTATGAACAATATTCCACTTGATCTCAACCATTTTGGCCATGTCCAGTTTTCCCTGGGGGTCACTGTCGTATCATGTATGTAGGAACTACACATGATGCTAAGTCAGCCATGGGTCAGATGTCTCAGATGTCCCAGGATCAAGATATTCTGCAAGGTGTAATAAAGTCCACCCACGTGAATAACCAAGGGCATGGTAAGAGGAAAAAGATTATTGAGCAAGCAACGGATTTCTGCCCTACCATGCTTACTACTTGGCTAAGACTGATCAAGATGGACGGTCTACGAGTCGCACAACATCATGCATTGACAGTAGAATCATACAAGGTCAGTAGTCATTTTCCAACGCAAAACGAACTGAATATTCCGCCCAGAACTTCCTCAACACCGACATCTAGTCCAGAAACAGAACCAATCGCACGAGCTGCATAACGTAGGGATTCTGCGGCGATGTCTACTTCCGAAGGAGCTGTGAAGTCGAGCAGAATTGGTAGGATGCATCAGTGAAGCATAATAAATGTACTTACAGAAGGCGATGAACTCTTCCAAGTGCATGACAGCTCGCTCAAGCATATCTCTATGGCGAGCATGCGTGATGAGCGGGCTGGTGTAATCAAAACCATCGCTGTATCTATTAAGGAAAGTCAGGATGTCCATCCAGCCAGTAGATATCTGACCTGTGTAAAGTACCTTGATCGTAAAACTTGTGCGAGACCATCTAGAAACGACTGAGTACCCTCTGATGTGCGAAGACTCGCTGTCCAGAACTGGGGTTGTTTGCTGTTATTATAGTTATTGCCATACTCCGTGAAAGTGAGAGACTGGTTGAGAGGAAGGCTCTCGATAGTATCAGATTTATTCAATAAAAAAAGGGTATCTGGTTTCAAGTGGTTCTTGACCTCATCCGGGATTCGAACCAGGGCATTGTCTCGAGAGGATAAAACATCAGGAAGAGATAGAACACAAAGAGACAGATCAGCCTCCTTAACGCTGAGCGAACCATTAACAAAAGGGTATAGTGTATTATGACTTGCACATACGCGTTACCTGCACGACCCACCCCTACCTGCTCTACAGTGTCCAATGTTTCTCGCAGGCCAGCAGTGTCGCTCAAAACGACTGGAAAACCTCCAATGTCCAAGGTGAGCGTGAGCACATCTCGCGTAGTTCCTGGAATAGGTGATGTAATAGCCGCATCACGCTGAGCTACAATCGAGTATTTGAATTAAGGTCTCAAAAAGCGCGACTTTAAGGACTTGCCAAGGAAATTAAACAAGCTACTCTTGCCAGCATTCGGAGGTCCAAATATCGCAAGTTTTATTCCAGAGCGCAGAATCTCCCCACGACGGTTGTCATGCAGGTGAGATCGAATGCTGTTGATGATATTCAATGCACGATTATGAGCTAATATACTTGAGATGAAATTGCAAATGAGCCTGTAGAGGACTTGCCTTCTCTAATCATCGCTTCCTGTCCAAGTTCGTCCACGTCCTCGCCAAAATCGATAAAACCTTCAACAAAAACTAAACATTCCAGTATCTGTGACCTTAGTGCAGCATATCGCGCTCTCGCGGCCCCCTAGGAACATCTGGAGTAAGTTGTAAGTCCTAAAATCAGTAATGATTCCTACCTCAGCTCCGCTGACAGCAACCCTTCTTTGAGCTTCTGTTTCAGCATCTATCAAGTCGCGCAGACCCTCGACTTGGGTGAGATCAAGTCGGCCACCCTCGAAGGCACGTCTCGTAAATTCGCCTGGCACAGCGGGCCGACAATATGGTAGTTTAGCAAGTGCACGTAACACTGCAGAGAGCACTGCGCGCCCAGAGTGGATGTGAAGCTCAAGAGTGTCTTCTGTGGTAAATGATTTTGGACCTAATGCACATAACCAAATATCCCGCGACCTATAGCAAATAATCAGAACTCACCCTTGAAGAAGACAGTCAAGCTGTCATCGAGTCTCTCTTCGGTCTCTGGGTCGACGACGTGTCTGCGCTGAAACATCCATGGTGTCGGTACGGCTCCAGACTTATTTCTGCGCGTCACTCGTTGCCAGACGTCAAGGGCGTCGGGTCCAGAAATCCGAATGACAGCTATACCTGCTTTCCCAGGTGGAGTGGAGAGTGCGTATATAGTTCTACGCTGCGCATCAGAGAGCGTAGCCTCAGACTTGGCGCAGAGTGTTGTATGAGCACGACTGGCATACCCAGTAGCATCAAGCTGTGATGATGACCTGTTGAGGCGGTGTAATCTGCAATTCCAGCGGAAACTTCTATGTAGAACGACCGACGCAAGGGTGAAGTTATTTTCCCGAAATTGAACCTGTCTCCGTTGTATCCGTAGATCCTTCACAGCTTTTTGAATGATACTGGCTCGCCATTGTCGCAACATTCACTGCCCTCGAATTCTAGCTCGCCGTTAGTCGCGACCAGTACTATGGTATGATGACAGAAGGCGTACAAAGAGTTGTCGTAATTTCTCACGACTACACATTAATACAGCTTGCCCTTACCTCTCATCATCGAGCACAAGATCTAACCGAACCGACTTATCCCATCCTTGTTATACAATCACATAGATTGCCCAGTTTAATTAGAAGCCATGGGTCAAACACGTTTGTTTATCAGATTTCCTATGACGCATTCATCTTCCACTCACCCCGCGATGAACAGCGTCACAGTTCATGGAGGACATGCAGAAGCGGTCCAACTGTGCGTTCTGTGTTCCAAACCACTTCTGCTCTGCGATACTCATTTGACTGTGCTGCACAGTCACATCCGCTGAGCTGGAAAGATTGAAGAAGCGCTTCATGAAGCTAGACAGGTCTATATCACTTCTCCAATTGACTATCATTACCACCGATCTCATAATGCACATTGCATATACAGTGATGGCTCAGGCTCCATAGATCGCGAAGAATTTCTGCAAATACCACAAATAGCTACCAACCCATTAGCCTCGAGGATGATCGCAATCTTTGACGAAGAGTGCGTCCACGAATTTCCGTGGCCGACTCATGATTTAATTCTTACGCAGTGGAGGAGGAACCGTGGATTTCCAAGAATTCGTGGGTGGATTGAGCGCATTTAGCAGTCGAGGAGGGC